CTGCTTAACAATTAAAGTAGATAAAATGCTTGCTTAGGCTTCTCATTTTTCAGTGAGAATAAAACACCCGTGAATTTTTCACATCATGATAAAATTATTTTTAATGTGTTGTAAGTTCATAAGGGTAAGAGAGGAGATTGGACCAAATAATTGTAAGAAAAAAAGTCAAAATTTAAAATAAGTAAGACTATAATAAGACTTCTCCTTTTCTAATATATGTATAATATAGTATATATAATACAGTATATATAATTATATTCTATATTTCATTATATATACATATACACACACACACATATATATCCTTGTTATTTAATCCTGTATTTCACTCTTCTTTGTTTCTAGGGTATGTGTAAAAAATTCATTATTTACATGTCTAAATCTGACATGCAAATCTCTATGATTAAAAAAAATTCTGACTTCTCTTTAGATTTAAATATAGTGACTTTCAAAAATATTTTCATCCATTTGCTTGTGCAGTGAGTATTACTGTAGAACCACTGTGTGTCTGTCATCATTCTAAGTTATCAGGAAGACAATCATGTACAAAGTTACTGCCTTCATAAAGCTTATATTCTAGTGTGAGAGATGAATAAATAATATATCAGATAGTTGGAATGCTAAGCAGAATATATCAGGATAAACAGCAGAGAACAGAGTGCCATTTTAGGTAGGAAGATCAATAAGGGAACAAATTTGAATAATGACGTCTAATATTTGGCCAGAGCCCACAGAACCTGAGATGGGAGTGACCTCTTTGTGTAGTGAATGCACATGATTTATCAGATCCCACCAACACATGGGATTATTGAGACTGTCTAAATCAATCCTGTTAATGGGAAGATAACTATAATTTTTTTTTAATTTTAATGTATTTTATACATTCAATTACTGTACATCACTACAGCTTATAAAATGAATTTAGCCAACATGAATATACTTCCCACCAGTCCAGTTGAAGGTATCATACACATTATCATCAACCGACAATCCTCCATTTCTGTGTCCCTCAAATGTCTTGCCTCTCTATTTTTTTTCTTGGTTCCTTTCCTCTCACACTCCCCTAACTCTCACCCTCCCCTAACTCTCACCCTCTTTCCACATTGTCTTCAGTGTCTGTAACCATTTTCCATGCTTTGGTATCCTCTAATCTTTCAATTTTCACCAGAGTGTGGACAATTGGTATATATTAAGTGGAGACATACAGTATCTATCTTTCATAGCCTAGCTTGCTTCACTCAGAAATAAATCTTCCATATCTGTCCACTTACTATCAAATTCCAAGATCTTGTTTGAATAGTATTCCACAGAGTATATGTGCCACACTTTTTCAGTTCATTCATCTGTTGATGGACATTGGGTTGGTTCCATGTCTTAGCAATTATGAATAATGCCGCAATAAACATAGATGTGCAAGCACTTTATCAACTGAGTATTTACCTGTCCTTTGGGTAAATATCCAGGAGTTGAATTGCCAAATCATATGGTAATTCTATTTGTAGATTTTTGAGGAACCTCCTTATTGTTTTCCACAGTGGCTGTACTAATTTACATTCTAGCCAACAGTGTAGGAGAACTCTCTAATTTTCTGTGTTCTTATTCGAGGAGGGATCTTCTCATTAGGCAAAAATCTGCCTTCTGCAACTTCCATCAAACCTGAATACCTAAAATATGCACCCAAAATAAATGAAATGTTTCTTTCTTTTATGGTATTCTATGAAAGCATTTTTAACTCCTAACTTCTATTCAGGCTCTGATTGAAAGTTAAGTGTTTATATTTTCCCATAACACAAAAATTTAACTTCTGGTCATACATTATCCAACCTAGAATTTACACTAGCTAGCCTAGAATTGAAATACAAATTTAAAAACAAAAAGTTATCATTTTTCTATTCTCATCCAAAGTTCGCATGATGTTTTTGCTTTGCAAGTGTCCAGTAGGCTTCAGGAAAAATAGAGAGCAGGACTGATGCCTTTAATTCAGTGGTAGCATAGGAGACTGTCACCCCAAGGTTAAGAATAAAAAGAATTATGAGTATTCAGTTCTACATACTTCAGAATCACCCCCAAGAAATAGACGCCAATAGTAGTAGGGATGCATCTTCCTTTGGATTAGACAACTGCTTTTGATCACAGCCTGTGTGATACAGACTAAAATGGACCACTTCTTGGTGGAAGAGAAACAGCAAAAACTAAAGCTGGTTTATAATCAGGATATCATCCAAGGGGCAATTTTTATTAATCATAGATCCCAGCCAAGGTGTCAACCTGGATCACCCAGGGGACTCTCTAACAGGGTCCTTCTACCTGAGTACTGTCTACTCTTTTAACCTACTGCAGTCAGGTGTGACCCAGGGGCCCTGGCAAAAAAAAATATGCAATGGCCAAGATTCCCAAGATTTCTAGGTAGAGGAAAAACAACCAGCACCAAGATCCTAGGAAGTCATCAGGCCAATACTGAAGGATGTCCTGAGTGACTCTATATTGTCGTATAAATGCATCTTTGTGTATCTGTGTGCTGACTTTATTATATACATAAAGTTAGCCTTATATAAGTAAAAAGCATCTAAGATACAAAGTATCTGATGTTGTGTAATATTTTCATTAATTTCCTGATGTCATGTCTTGGAGAGACGAAGTCATGAGGAGGAATATTATTTCCAATGTATAACTTATTCCCAGATGCACAGGTTTAATGTACCCTAACTCCACTTTTAAAAAATAACAATAGCATGTACCTCAAGAAAAAAAAATATGAAAGTATGCTATGGTTGAAATAATACACTTAATGTAGAGAATGTCAAATACATGTAAGTACTTTGAATCTAAGCATGATCTAAGCAAGATGGTTGGGCCCTAATGCGACAGATCAGGATTCATTATATAGTGAGAATTTCTTTTATCTCCCATTAAATAAACTCATATGATAATGAACGTGTGAGATAACATGGATTAGAAGAGGGGGAGTTATTGTTACAGAATTTTCTCTGTGTATTGAAATTATAGAATGCTAGCAGCCAATCAAGAAAGCTAAAACAATCATTGTGACCATTTCAGATAACCTGGATTAAAGGAAAGAGTTTGGAGAGGAAAGTGCAGGGTTGGAGCTGGGGGCAGAGGGCACCAATCACTCATGGAGAGTGCAACACTGGGCTCTTTCTGTACCTCCTCTCTCTTCCCACCCATTGCCATCAGAGGCCCTCTCCCCTTCCCTTTGCTGTGTCTCTCTCCCCAACTCCTTTCTTTCATCTTCAAGTGCTATTACTTGGGCTTCAGATTTCTGCTGCTGCAAACCATCTTGCAGCTGGGATAGTAATATCAACCTGTGTGCTGGTAGGGGAAAAATAGGGGGGAAGAAGGGGAAGAATGTTGGGGGAAGACAAGCTGATGAGAGATGGTGGGGAGAGTACCTGGATGACTGCTGGTAGGGGGCAGGGAATTTTCAATGTCAGGAAGTGTCATCTAGAACTTTTCTGGGTTTTCATCTGTAAGTTCCTCTGAGGCAAAAGTTTATAAAATCATTCAGCTTTGTTAAGAAATACGAACGGGGAACCAGCAGTTAGCATAATGGCTATGTCACTGGACTCCCATGTAGTCGACCGCGGTTCGCGTCCTGGACCCGGTGGCTTAGAACTCACGCCGGGCACGTGTGCGTGCGTGCCCAAGATCCCGAGAGGAGAATGGAGGAGAAGGGATTGCGGCATGACCATCCCCCCTGGGGGGTGAGCAGTTAGCATAATGGCTATGTCACTGGACTCCCATGTAGTCGACCGCGGTTCGCGTCCTGGACCCGGTGGCTTAGAACTCACGCCGGGCACGTGTGCGTGCGTGCCCAAGATCCCGAGAGGAGAATGGAGGAGAAGGGATTGCGGCATGACCATCCCCCCTGGGGGGTGATTTCTTGCTTTCTGTATCTATGTCTCTGTCTGTCTGGCGAGCGCACACGCCCTATAGCGAAAACCTCTCAAAAAAAAAAAAATAGAAAGAAATACAAACAGACAATTTTGTTCATTATTTACTGTTTATGTTGTTACTACACAACATATCACATGGCTTATTAAATAACGTGAAATTGCCTTTGCTGTTTACTGCCTTTATAGGCTAATCATCAGAGGAAATGTTAGTCCAGGGATTTCAACTTCAACAGAATTTCTTTGGTCTTAGTAGAAATTGTGGTGATACAATAGTCCACAAAAGTGAACTAGTTGAAAAACACAGAAAAATTTGTGCATTTCCATTTCTGAGTTTTTAATCCATTAGGGAAAATAAAAAAGAGCTATGTTAGGAGTCTAGAGATCCAGGCCACTCTCTGTTACCAATTAGCTGTTTAATCTTGGTCATTTGCTTCATTCCTCTGTGCCTCACCATCCTCACCTGTGAAATGACTTCTAGCATAAGGTCTATTACTCTACATATTTCTTAGAGTAAATGCAAACAAGATGAGTGTAACAAGTCTTTAATAGTGTATGAGGGGGGTTGTAAAATAGCGTACGCTCTAGATCTGCCAATTCTTACTTCCTGTGTCTGCAATAGACATGTCAGTGTGAGTTGCTTCGCTAAATAAAAGTGCATGTTTTCTCGTTGCAGATAAATAGGATTTACCAACCCCTGGATGAAGTGCTTGGAAAGTCTTTAAATGCCACAAGCAACTGTCATTTCAAAGAAAAGAGAATAGATGGTTTTGGAAAGTTCATGCTGCTTCTTCATTGAGTTTTAGGTGAGTCGATTTGAGACAAAGAATTTAAAACAGACATTGAACATTTTCCCTGAAAATGCTTCTCTCCTTGCGTGAAGAGAAAATAGAGTAAAATATTATCAATGCCTTTTAATTTTTTACTTATAGTGAGATTTAGACAATGCAAGACTAAATTTCTGTACTTTTTATTTTTTATTGCTGTCAGAAACCATCTGAACTATGATGGGTACAACCTGGAGATGGTCCCTGCATCTTTTCTTATTGTCTATTAAGCAAATAGCAAATGCCATAATACCTCTTTCTATTCTAAAGGTTATTTCAATATTTAGCATAGAAACATACTTAACATCCAAATAAACCAGAAGAAGACAAAACCCTGTTCTAATGGCATAAACGTAAGGAAAATTTTTTTGTGGTAACAGTGGTTTAATCATTAGTTAGTCTATATGTGAGACAAGGATAACACTTTAGAAACTGCCTATTGAGAGACTTTTTTATTATTTAAATTAAAAGAAGGACATGAAGGGGACCAGCAGTTGGCATAATGGCAATGTCGCTAGACTCCCATGTAGTTGACAATGGTTAGAGTTCCGGACCTGGTGGCTTAATCTCACACCAGGCACGTGTGCGTGTGTGCCCGAGATCCTGAGAGGAGAATGGAGGAGAAGGGATTGTGGCGTGGCCATCCCCCCTAGGCAGTGATTTCTCGCTTTCTGTCTCACTGTCTCTCAGGCATGTGCACACACCCTATCACAAAAATCTCTCTCAAAAAAAAAAAAAATAGGACATGGTTACTGTCAAGTACAGTAATTTTTAATATTACTGCATATAATTAAGCACACATACACACACACACACACACACTCACATATATTAAGATTTGTTTCACCTAACCATAAAGTGGATGCATAAATTTGTTTTCATATCATCACACATAATTACTCCCCATGCAACAAAAGACAAGAGGCTGAAAACGTGTGGATTAATATGAGTCTGAAATATGCCATTGTCATTTCTCAGCAAAATGGAGAGGAATAGAGAAACTGAGTGGTGATCATACGAAGGAAGCTGTGTAGCTTTCAATCTTCTCCTAAGTCCAATTTTTAAAGTGTAGTTTTATTATGTACTTGAAGAATGGTGATTTCTAGAACCTTGGACTATACCTATGTTTTCAGTTCTGAATCAAACTATACAACTGACACTCACCACTGTCTAAATCCAATCCAAAAGACAGGATTGCTTCTTTTACACTATTAATTCATTTCAAAATGAAAGTGGATAATTCTTCATAATCGTAACGGTGTAGAAATTTAGTTTATCATGGATGGATATAGAACTAAAACCATAATTTCATGTATTTTCAAGTTATTTGTCCAATATACCATTTAAGAACTTAGCGCCTCTCAAAACTATCAATAAATAAATTTTCCTTAGTATAACCGTTACTCTAGAAAAGAAAAATTGAAAATTCGTTTTCTGAACTCTGTTTTCCAAGGGTGCCAATCTGTGTGTGTGTTTGCCTTCAGGTTCATTCTTTGACCTGCCCCTACTCTATTCGATCCATGGGCCTAACCCCTGTGGACTGTTTTCCAGCCCAGCCTTCCTCTTCATCCTACCCGTCTCCAGTGACCCAGTGACTTTAACCCAAGTTCCAATAACATCACTTGTTTCCTTTGTCCCTTGAGAATTGTGGGTGGTGGTGCCTTTGGATTCCTGTTTCTGCTCATGTTCAGGTTAATACATTATCCTTAGTTTCATGTCTCAATTCTTCTATCATCCATGTAACTATTTTTCCAGATTAAGGTCCATCCATTTAAAGTACTTTGGGTGTTTTTTTTTTTCTTGCTTGGTTGGGTCCTAATTAAACCATCAGTGCTGCCTTAATTTCTTGTACAATTATTAGAGAAAAGTGAGGAGGGATTACTTGCTTCTACCCAGGAAAATAAATGATTCCCAAGTGATTTAAATTTAAACATAAAGTGGGTAGGTTTTCAATTATAAAATGCTTTATGTTCGTTCACACATTGAGCTATAACACATGTACAGAAAGGGCACAAGTGAGTGTGCATCTCAGTGAGCTTTCACAAAGTGCCCAGTAGCAATTAGATCGAGTAGAGCATGCAGTCCTGGTCTTGCCCCTTCCAGTCACTCCTCGCCCAACGGAAAGCACTGTCCTGGCTGATATCACCATTGACTAGTTCTTATTCTAGAACTTTCTGTGATGGAATCACACAGTCTATGTTGTAGCAGATCATTCTCCTTTATTTAAATTCATAAACCTTATCTTTAGAGAAGTTTACAGTTTACAAAAAAACTTGAAGGGAAAGTATAGACATTGCTAGGTATTCCTTGCACCCCTCACTCAAAACCTCCCTCAACTGTTGCTAGCCCTAACATTATCCCCAGAACTGATAAACCTGCATTGACACACCATCACCCAAAGTCTATAGTCTATGTGAGGATTCACTCTTGGTGTTGTACATTTTTGGGGGTTGGACAAATTTAGAATGACATATGTTCATTATTAAAACATCATACAGAATAGTTTTACTGCCCTAAAAAATGTGTGCTCTACTTATTCTTCCCCTTTACCCCCAGTCTCTGAAAACCATGGATTTTTTCCTTTTGCCATAGTTTTGCCATCTCCTGACAGTCACTTAGTTGGATCATATGTTATGTGGCTTTTTCAGATTGCTTTCTTCTCTTAGTAATAGGCATGCAAGCCTCCTCCATGTCTTTCCATGGCTTGATAGCTCCCTTCACTTTAGTGCTGAATAATATGTTATTTTGTGTATTTTCCATATTTTATTTATTTATGCATCCACTGAAGGACATCTTGGTTGCTTCCAGGTTTGGGGCAATTATGAATGAAGCTGGTATAAGCATTTATGCACAAGTTTTTGTGTAGGCATGTTTTCAATTCATTTGGGCAAATACCAGCAAGCACAATATCTGGACCGTATGGTAGGAATATGCTTAGTTTGGCAAGAAACTGACAAATTGTCTTGTAAAGTGGTTGGACCATTTCGCAGTTCCACCAGCAATTAATAAGTGTCTTATTGTTCCACATTCTTGTCAGCATTTGAGTTATTCATGTTTTGGATTTTGGCCATCCTAATAGGTGTGAAGTTGTGCATTATTGCTGTTTCAATTTGGAGTCCCCGAAGGACATGCAGTGTTAAACATCTTCTCATATGCCTATTTGCCATCTGCATCTCTTCATTAGTGAAGTGTCTGTTTAGGTATTTGGCCCACATTTTATTTGGGTTGTTTTTGCATTGTTGGATTTAAGAGTTCTTTGTATATTTTGGATATAACTTCATAGGTGTGCCTTTTACAAATATTTTCCCAAATCTGTTCCTTATTTTCTCATTTTCTTGAAGTTTGACTTTTTTTTCTTTTCTTCGAGAAGTTTTTGCTATAGGACACATGCGCTCACCAGAAAGACAGAGAGACAGAAAGTGAGAAATCACCCCCCAGGGGGGATGGCCATGCCACAATCCCTTCTCCTCCATTCTCCTCTTAGGATCTTGGACACACACACACACACACACACACACACCCACACACACGCCCGGAATGAGTTTAAGCCTCCAGGTCCGGGACTCAAACTGTGGTCGAGTACATGGGAGTCCAGCGACATAGCCATTACACTAACTGCTGGTTCCTTGAAGTTTGGCTTTTTTTTTTTCCACATTATTTATTATTTGTTTTTTGTATATACTTTCAATCATATTGTTTGACTTACAGTGAGACCATTTTGATATGTGCACATTTCTCCCCAGACCCGTTGATCAAAATATCTTTAACAGTTAACACCAAAATATTTTAACGTAATATATTTAAGACCATTTCCTATGCTATCCAGTATTGTGACATTATTGCTGTTTATAAAGTCATTGTTAACTTTCCCAGTTTGCATATCAAACTAATGATAACACTTTTAAATCCTCAGATATCTCACAAATATGACTTCTTTAATGTTCACATTTCTCAAATTCCACTATGTACAACTAAGAACTACTTAGAGTATCAGTCCCATTTGGGCTTTCACATTTAAGTCTGGAGCTTCTGATTTATTTTATTTAGGATTTCACCTACAGTTGAGGGATCTGACCTCTTTCAAGAATGGTTTATTTGTTACTTGAAGATGACTTATTACCTGAACAGTTCACATTTCCTATAATAAATACTGAGTAAATTGGAAAGCAAAGTGAACAGGATGCCAGTGTCTGTCTTTCTTGATGGGTAAACAATTTACCCGTCTCAACAATTCCATTTACTCTGAAGGGCTTCCTTGGTATTAAAGTAGCTTTGCACTTAATCATTTTGATACTTCACTTAGTTATTTTAAATGTAAGTGCCTTGATATTTTCATTTCCTTTCTCATTTATTTATGTAGACATTTTCCTTTTCACTCTGTTCTCAGAGGTCATCACAAGTGCTCATCTGTCCATTTTAATGTACCATGGTTATACTCCAAAGGACACGATGTTCCGAACACCAGCATTGCTTATCTGTTCAACCAGCGTTGATGTTGAACCTTCAGTCCCTGATTTAGAATCCTTTCAGACAATGTGCAAATGCTATCATGAGCAGAATTTCTTGGGCCCCTTCATAATCCTGAAGTTAGGGGGACACAACAATGAGCAGCATTATGCTGTGGTTTAAAAGACGATGAATAACACATGTTCCCAAAACAAGTCTTAACTTTAGTTTGGTATAGCAATGAAAATTCTAATCATTAACATTTCTCTTTAACTTATGGAAATGACACTTTATAATAAAGTTATATTTTAAAAACATACCCTTGGGAAGAAATTGTACCAAATAATAATACGTAACTAATAAATTAGCAAAGAAACTTCTGAGACAATGGGGCAAATACCAGATTTGGAAGGTTTGATGCACATAAAAAAGAAGAAATCTACTGAAATAATTTCACTGATTCCATCCTAGTGGGACAAGGGAAATATCTTTTGTCAAAGATAACTCAGGCTGAACAGATAATGTTGTATCGA